CACTATGCCTCCTTAAGGGTAGACATTTAAGACTAAACAGATGTAACAGCACAGTATTATTGTCTCCAGAGGAGGAACCCTGCCCAATAGCAGCCATTTAGTCCAGTAACTAGCTAGCTATGGAAGAGCCAACACTCTTCCAGCAAGCAGACGTGCCAGTTCCACGATGGAGAAAAGATTGAATGGGATAGACAGTGTGGGAAAGAAAGTTGCACAAGGTAAACAGAGAGAAGGCAATAATGGGTGACTGGGAACCTGGTGTATTTTTTAAGATTTATACTTCAGACAGTCCAACCTGATAACATCTTGTAAACCTGTATACAACCCTTTACATGTTTGTGTGTGCACTGGCATCAGTGGGGATGTATGTGTGTTTGTTTGTGTGTGTGTGTACATGAGTGTTGGAGGAAGTCTAAATCCCCGTTTCCCATGCGTGTAATCATCCCAGGATGAGGTGGAAGATGAAGCCGACCGGGACTTCCCCTGCACCAGAGGGTATTTTCCTCTAACACTGTGGTACGAGCACATGGCTGACCCGGGCTGCCTCTGTATGTGCTTTTTTTACTATGTGTGTTTGTGTGTGTGTGTGAAAGAGAGTGATAAAAATAAAAAAGTATTATTATCACTGCTAAAATAATATGTTTGCTTATGACTGTGGCAAGCGTATAAAAGGCACACAGTAAAATCAGAAAATGACACAGAATAACTGAAAGACTGTCAGGAACTAACTTGCACACTTTCACACACTGTCATCTAAATCTCTTACTCTGTCTTCTAGAGAACAAATAACGTCATAGCAGAGCTGACACACAGAATGCATACACACATGCGCACACGCACACACGCACACACGGGTCAGCTGTTCAGTCATAAAGAACCATTAAGAGTCCTGGCTCCCAAATAAAAGCAGAATACAGTTACCATGTTGAGAATGTGGAAACAATGTGTATGACAGTGTGTGTGTGTGTGTGTGTGTGTGTGCGTGCATGGTATGGGTCTGCATTTCTGTGTTGCTTGGTGACACAGCTGATGACATAGCAGTGAGATGAGTACCACAAACTGCTCCATCATCTATTCATAGCTCCCTGGCTGAGGGTCGTCCTGCTGCCTAAAGTGAACTCAGCCTCACTTTATCATCATTAACATCGAGCACAAAAAATGACGGATCATAATGCTGCAATAAACATCCCTATGATGAAGTGATTCAAGGAGCAACACATCTGCTTATCTAGTGCTTAGGAATCAGCTGTTCGGTCATAAAGAAGCACATGTTTTGCATCTCAATCATTTTAAGTGGAAACTGGTAACTGTCGATAAAGCACAATAAGAGGGTATGAAAGAGATTATGAGAAAATAAAAATCGAACATCTGTATGTATGCATGGAAAGGCCATAACAATGTGTATGTGTGGACAGACTCCTCTGAACACAGCTCAGTGTCTAGAAATGACTGAAATCACACACAACACTTGAACGAGTGTCTTGCCTCACCACTGCCAGGGAACCCAAAAGCCCCTACAAAACAAATTCATTAACCAAGACAATAAAACACAGCTGTGAGGGGCAATGGAACCGTTTGAAATGAGTGCCTGGGCTTGTGGAGAATCTGTTCAAGACAAACAGCATGCTAAGAAAAAAGAAAAAAGAATCAGAGGAAAGGATTTGGAAATAAGAGAGAGTGAGTAAAGAGCAGTGTTTAATTTAAACTCTAGCTGGGGACAGTGCTGACTGTGAGAACGGAGATGGTTTGTTGGAGCACAACAAAAAACAACTCCCCTGTACCAGATGCTTGAGCTCTGGGACCTGGTTTTAATTGAATCTTTTGAACAGGTTGTATAAAATAAGAACAAACAAAAAATGCCAAATTCTATAAATATCATTACTGAAGCTGGGATTGAATTAAAAAAAGACATTCCAAATCCAGTTTCTAATACTGTGGAAATTACAAATGGAAAGACATCTGAACTTTATTACATGAAACCTGAAGATTGTAGACTCTACCTGTTCTTAACCCACACTCTGAACACTGTTAGGGTATGTGCTTCTGATATTCTATGATGACAGTGGGTGAAATGTGTTAGCAGGGGGTGGGAGTGGGGCCTAAATGCCTTAGTTCAAAACGCCACTAGAGGGCTCTGCAGCTTGTGAAATGGGTTTTTGTAGATCCGTACACACCAGACCTGATCATGTCTAAGTCATACTAACCTCCCTGCTGAAGGGCCAAGCAGCCGGACAGACTCAGCTGCCAAAAGACTTACGACACTGAGATAGATGGAGGTACAAATAGTTTTACAGAATGTCCAAAAAAGTCAAAGCCAGACCACATTTATTCAGTATAACCTCCGTGCTCTGCAGCTGCACAGAGGTGAAGACACACTGACTGAGCTCACTGTTAATGATACTGTTATGCTGTGTAATGTCACCGCTATAAAACAGTAAGGCACACTGCATCATGCATATGACATAAATAAGGTAAAAGCAGAAAAGTCATAATAGCCTCCCCTGGTTAATAACTGTGACCAAAAGAATTTAAAAATGCATGTGTGGAAATACATGAAAAAAACATGAAAGCTGAACCATCACAAGTACATCACTCTAACTTCTCAAAAAGCAGTGATTGATATTACATCATTCTGGACCTTGTGGGTAATTTCTACTTCACCTAATCCAGATGAAAAAAAAAAAGTAATAAAAACAGTCGGATGCATATTTTTGCACAAAAAATTGACAGCTCCTAAACTTGTATAAACTAGGAAAAAGCCTGGGGGTAAAAACATAAACACAGCGGCTACTGTCACAGTGTCCTTAACATTATTTGGAATCTCATCTCCTCCAGCTGGAGAAGCTCAACAAGAAAACCAAATTCACAGAGGAATGTTTCGGGTGCATGTCAGGACTGCACTGTGAGCCAAGGTGTTGCAAAGCTGAGCAAAACTGATGCTACATCATACATTACGTTGCATTACATTTCATTGCTTTTAGAGATTAATGGAAAAAATAAACCGTGATGAATCAAATTTAAATTACCCTTCTTGAAGGGTGAACCCTAACAATTCTTTGGGGGGGGCGGGTGGGTGGATAACATATTGCAGTTTTCAAACAGTTGCCAATAGTCCTCCCAGAATAGCTGCTTAAATTTCTCATCCTGCCTTGAACCTGGATGAACCCTCTGTAGCCGTTAGCTGCCCCTCAACAGAATCAAGCCATGAATCATTACAAGTCAAGGGTGAGGGCTCAGAGATCACCCAAATCAAGACCAGATGCACAGCAGGCACCTCCCATGGTCTTACCGTGCAAGTAACAAATGAAGAACAAAAAAAAAAATAAGGAAACTTCACACTGCGCCTTTCTCTTATCCATTTCTACAGGGTTGTATTAGTCCAAGTTGTCCTAATCCATTTTAGATTGTACAGTGATTACATGATTACAAAGTTTAACTTGTTACTTTGCCTGAGAAAGCCTACTTCAGGTTACAGAGGCCTTTATCTGCGTCATCTGACGCAGTCATTGCACTTAAGCACACATCGTCCCATAAAGAATGTTAAGAGGAGATAACAGTAAAATCACTCTATCGACTCACTTCACTTCATCCCATTACCCCCGTTCTTCTTTCCCCTGTCCCCTTCCCTCATCTACAACTCCCATCCTCACCACAGCTGGTAAATATTTTTATATTGTGTTCCATTAGAAGGCTTCATTAAGCGGTCAGACGGGGCAAATGGCGCCTGGGAGCTCCCTGTCCTGTAAACAATAGGAAGGGCCCTGAAAGCTGCAGCTGAGCAGAGCGCAGTAAACTAAGCCCACATTAGAGAACAGCCTTGCTCTGAGTGAGTAAATATTTAAATGTGTTGGATTCACCCAAAATAGTCACGGCTAATAGTTAAGAGCACAGTATTGGGAAATAATAATGATAGATTTTTGAGCAAACAAGCATTGCGCTGCTCAATGATTAGTCATTGTCTTTATGTGAATTTGCGGCAGACTAGTGGGTAAAAATTAATAAGCCATAATTGTATCAACAAAGTGATCTTTTGGCAGATGTACAGTATCCAGCTAATGTCAGCACAGCACATATCTACAGGAGAAGTTCCTGACATAAAAAGAGTTGTTAGTCACATATGACTTCAGGTTTGTTACACCGAAGAGACAGTGTAAAGCTTTAGTATTACAGAAACCATAGTTAAACTACTCAAATAACCTTACTCCAGCTAAAATGTCCATACTATGTATGTATGTAGCTTTGTTTGTCAGTATGTAAGTGTCCATATGGACCAAGACGTTTGTGTTGTGCATGAATGTGTGAGTCAAAATTCCACCTGATGTCACTGTGACCTGTGTTGCATATGTTTATGTGAGCACTAGTTGGTGTGATTTCACCCACAGTCTACAGCAGGGGTGGGCAATTCCAGGCCTCGAGGGCCGGTGTCCTGCAGGTTTTAGATCTCACCTTGGGTTAACACACCTGAATCACATGATTAGTTTGTCACCAGGCCTCTGGAGAACTTCAGGACAAGTTGAGGAGCTAATTTAGCCATTTAAATCAGCTGTGTTGGTTCAAGGACACATCTAAAACCTGCAGGGACACCGGCCCTCGAGGCCTGGAGTCGCCCACCCCTGGTCTACAGGACCAAAGGAGCCAGGCCAGGATCAGGAGCCCAACCAAGTGCATGCTCATTCTTTAACATTCATGGGTGATCACTGCAAATCTGTCCTTCAGTGCTGACATGTGCTGTCCTCAGAAATCTCGGGGAGAAGATTCAGTGCAAACTACCTGAATCCACTCACTAGATTTGACTCCTCTAAGTTCAATTGAAACCAAAATGGAGGAGATCCAGAATCACAAGCAGTGTGAGATTATGCTCACAGACACAGGACTTTCAGGTAGACAGAAGCACTGAGAACTGTGTATTGCTGCACAGGCTGACTGTTTAAACATCTTTAAGTTTAAACAGGGGGTGGTTTTGATTTTGTATGTAGTGCTGGAACGTCACTATAATGTACCTCAAAGCCTTTCTCTGGAGCGTCCATCCCCACCATGTTGTCTCTGAGAAGCTGATGAAGGAGGTGGACCTGAGCAATACTGAGGTAGAAATCCAGACTGCTAGTCACATTAACCTCCAGAGAGTGGCCACACACCACCACCTCCTAGAGAAAAAAGGGAGTTAAAAAAAGGGGGGGGGGACAAAATGAACAGGAGAAGTAGGAGGAGAGAACAGGAAATGCATTGAGAACATCTTTTCTAACTTGTATACTCTTCTATTTACTTTCCATCTCCTCACTATCTTTGTATCTTTACTTAAGTCGGTCTCTTCTTCCGCTCTTCCCTCTGTGCTCTCTGGGGTCCCACCCACAGCCAGCAGTTCAAAACTCAGGCTGGAGGTTACATCTAAAAGGATATTACTCACCAACACTGTGGACTGAACCACACACACGCACACATGGCAGACCTAGCGCAATAACCCACAAAGGGTATTGCCACTGTTTTTTGATTTTATTTTGTCAATTCTGAGCTTTAAATTAAAGTCACCACTGTCTTTTTTCTCATTTAGATTTATAGTAACATAAGAAGTGCATTAACATTATAAATATTAGTAGTTCTGTTAGCGGTCAAAGTGACTGGTCGAAGATGTTAAGGTTACAATAACAGTTACAGAACAGCCTGGCGAGGAACAAATGTAAACCATATACTGCTATAATACATTCAATACATTAATGGTTCATTAGCAATAGCTTTTACATTTGTGTGGGAACCATGCATAAATCTGCTAACAGTAGTTAGCGGTTAGACAAAATGAATATGATTTTTTATTATAGAAATTGTTCTACACTACTTAGTTCAAAGTTGTGTTTTGTTGTTCCTGGCTCTGAGTTTCCATATCTGAGGGAGTTACACAAATCACATTGAGAGAGAGAGTGTGTGTGTGTGTGTGTGTGTCTAAGCACAAACTATGGATTAGCTGTTATGCATTGTCAAGGGGCACGTTAGCGTGGTCGGATGAGGCATCAAAGAGGCAGGAAGTCTCAGAGAGCGGTGCCAGAAAACATCAGCTGTATAAGCAGAAAGGTTTGAACTCTCGGGGTCAAAAACCTCCCATTACATGGTGGACGGCCGATTCCTAATGAGTAAGTTACTGTACGTTAGGAGGAAAATGTAAATACTTTTGACATCTCACATAATCAATGTCTATTTTCATATGAGCAACGGATTGTGAGAGTAATGGCTGCAGTCGTAGTTGTAACAGGTCGCGGTCAAAGGGCACAAGAAGAATCTTTGTCTATTCTCAGACTTAAACTTTGACGTTTCGATATAATTTTCCCTAGTTCTGGGAGATTTTAACTTTTCTACAGTGCAGAGACATTTTCATTCAGAAAATCTGAATACTCTCTACAGAAATAATTCATGCGCAGTATTTCATGTAGCGCTGATTGGATGCTCACCTCTGTCTGTCCACTGTCAGGGGACAGGGTCTTGCTGAAGATGATAGCTGGAGCAGCAGTGACCCGGACAGAGAAGTCAGTCAGGATCGGCGTGAGGATGGCCCGGCGCTCCTGGTGTCTCCGGATGCTGTACAGAGATCAGACACCTCATCAACTACTATTTTGCTACTGTTGTTCTCAACCATAAAAAATGTATTCAAGCTTTTGTATACCTTACAGAAACCTAAAGGACTTTTTATCTTCACTAAAACTCCCCTCCTTTTGTTTACTAATATCTTTTCATGGTTAGCACTTAAAAAATCTTTGTGAGACTGTCCCATCTGCCTGGGGATGACACGTCAACACCACACAGTCGAAACCATAAAAAGTCTTCACAACAGAGTTTAATTGTCGTGCTGACAGGTTGTTCTAGGTTTTCAGATTCAAAGCATTATGAGGAAAAGCTAAACTTGACAATAGAGACTTCAAAATTGATCTTTTTTTCTTTCTGAATTGATCGTAGAAACGATCTGTAAGGTTTTTGCCATCATTGAGATTTTTTACATTTATTCTTTTACGCATTTTAGTTGCAAGCTTGAACAGAGACTGAGTGAGACGTTATTTGACAAGTCTCATTTGGGAACAGCTCTTAATTGTATACACACGAACGAGCTGAAACCTTCTCGTATCAACTCTCCATTTCACTAATGTTCATTCCCACAATCAAGTCATATTTGTGGGAACATTTGTTAGCAGTAAAACAAATATACAAGTGGGCTTTATAAGGTGGTGTTAATTGCCACATCTGCTGCTATTAAAACAATCAAGCAGTACAGCTTCCAATATTTATAGTTGGCTGGGATTATAAAAGGCCCAGTTTCTAGGTGGCCTTGAGTACAGTTCTTAACCAGAAACAATATCATATTCACTTCTGCTACACAAATGTGCATTACGAGTGCCCTTAAGGGATTATTTTCTGACACATTTCTTTGAGTGGGGAGTTCGAGGGAGGACTAATTCAGAGGTGAAATGATCTGTGAGGCCAATTGGTGTTGGCTAATCTCCCTTCAGACGGGGATTGAAACAATGAGCGTCTCGTTGCAGGGGACAGGTGCTATCATTCACCAGCAAGGCTAGGAGCCCCGAAGCTCAGTTTACCAGTATTATGGAAGTCTCTGAGTGGGCTGGAGAATCCTGTGGTTCTGTGTATGTGCGCGTGCCTTTCAATGGGGTCATTACAAAAACAAAATATGGAAAGATTGACTTTTGTTTCATTCAGTGGGACGCAGAATAATCAGTAAATTGGAATATCAGTGGCATGAACAAAAGGGAAGCCTGCACTGGGCGACTGATAGGAGGGGCGATGGGAAGAGTTCGCAGCTCTGTGACACAAGGTCTTTCCTAGCCAGCAACTACAAACTGTGATGAGGACAGATCCTGTCAGTGGATCCACAGTGCTGGAATTTCCTCACAAAACCTCAGGAAGCAAACTGAGGCCACTGCAGATCAGCCGCTACTGGAATTAAATCCAAAAAGCAGCAGAATCAACATACCGTTAGTCTAAGGCTGGGGGGAGAGAGAGGGTATCAATGTAAAGAAAAAGGAAAAGGTGTGAACTTTAGAAGTGGTGTGTGTCAAAATTTGTTACAACCGAGGTGGTGTATTTCTGTTAATGATTGCAGCAGACAAGTAAAGCTGTGAACTTGGCTCCCCTCTCCTCAGTGTCCTGGAATTTTCTCACACATTCGGCTATGACTTGGTAGTGTTGGTAGCTGAGGCTGAGGCGCAGCACACTGCAGTGCACCAAAGCCCTGCCGAGCTTCTAGTGCGGTTCCTGCTACAGCGAGGGGAGTCACATTGCTTTAAGGTTAAATGGAAGAGCTGGGATGAGACCCCAACACCACTACTGGCTTTGACCTTATCAGTATGACCATAGAGACACACCTGCCTATAAATGATTACCTTAATTATGTAAACGATATCTTACGGAGTTAAATGGAAAAAGAGGAAACATCAGAAAATAAATCTACGCTAAAGAAGAATGACAATCCAGTGATAAGGAGCTAGGAGCTTCTGATTATAAACAGGAGTCAAACTTTAGTGACCTTTACTCCTTAAAAGTGGGTGTCAATCCTCTTGAGTGCAAAAAGAACTGTTACATATTAGGTCATACAATCATCAAGTTTGAAACAGAAATCCAGACCCACTCTAGTATGTCTTACGACAGCTAAATCTATGCTAAAGATTTTTAGCATCTTCTGGAGCCCAAAGTGAGAGCCCAGAATGTCACCTCATTGCCCTTTCAGACAATGTGGACTTGGCACTAGGCCCATTGCAGAGAAACATATTGAGTGAAAGAAAGAAAGAATGTGACTGGATTAAAGATCAGAAGCCCCTTGCTCTTGTGAGCGTCTCTGACACAGTAGTAAGAATGTAAGACAAATATAGGCCCAAGTCCACTACCTACAAGAGCTATTTTACAGCTGACCTGGCCAGGATTGGAGGATTAGAGACGAGCGAATAAAAACTGGTGCACAGACAACAGAAAAACATTAAGGTGGAGTTTAGAGATAACATCCCATGCATATACTCCATTGTCTTCTTGGAAAGGGAACACAACGGTTTAAGAATTTTTATCTTTTCACAATCCAACAACAAACAGAGGACATTTTTGTTATTTTCAGCACCACATCTTACTATAATACAAAGAATCTCTGTGTGTTTGTTTCTGTGTCCATGATCTCTTTATAGAGTTGAGCCACCAAACAGATACACAGATATATCTTAGGTACTTGATGGTTTTTATGTATATCAGATTATATGACATGTTGTCTAGCAACCACATATCAACCGAGTATTTATACCGCTATAATACCTTATAATCCATTGCTTTAATTTCACATTAACATTTCACTTATATCCACAAAAGTTAAATAATGCATAATATATTATGATAAATCACATTACTTAGTTGTCACCCAGCAAAAGGCTAAAATGACCCATTTTTAAGACATAAACAACATTTACCCCATTATTTTTACTTTGCCATTAGTGATTTAGTACATCTGTTTGCCAACAGCACAAACAGGCCAAACAACACTGTAGCATGGGGGTGTAGAAGTAGTAATAATATACTGAAAAGCACAAACCAAAGGAATAGAGCTGTGCGATATGACCAAAATCTCATATCCCGATATAAGAATTCTATCGTCCCGATAACGACATAAATCACAAAAATGTAACATTTTCTGTAAATTCTGTGAATCTTGACTTGCGGGAAGTGTTTCCAGCTGCGCGTCATGTACCTGGAGTCGAATGTTTTAACTGATGCATGAAACGATACATTTCTAGACATAAGTTGTAACGGCCGCAGTTTTCTTTGTGAGTATTTATTACACGGCGTGCTGCGGGGAAAGCCTGTTCTAACGTTTGAGTCTAAGGCTTATTTTTTAGCACCTGGCGGCTCTTTTTTTACTTCTCATCCGTAAATAATCTGCTCTTTCACGTGATTCAGTTTATTTTGAAAAGTCTCAACAGGATCTTGAGCTTTATTGTGAAAGGTTTATGTGGAACATAAACATGCGGACACGCGATGCTGTTACCGTCGTTGTTGCTAACCACAACGCATAAAAACAGGCGCTTGTCCGTCTGTAGTGTGGTTATATTAAATATATGAGAAATAGAGAACTTTAAGAAATTAATATAGCCACTACAGTGACCATCAAAACGATGACAAAATATTGCCGTAAACAGTTTATTTTGTGACACCACTAAACAAATGATAGCATAAAATGGAACAATAGACGTTTTTATATCGTCATCCGATATATATCGTTATATCGAACAGCCCTACAAAGGAAGCACATAAAATCAAGCAGTGCTTGCTTTTATGAGAAAGTGCGGCAAGATGCCTTTCAGGAAAAAACTGAAAGAACAGAGCTCCCATGAAATAAGTCTGGCTGTCACAATAAAAAGGTCTTATTGGAGGTCTGAGAGCTGAGGGCTGAGCATCACTATCATGTTTTCCAAGACAGCATGATTGTCTTGGAAAAGTCTTCTTCCAAGACAATCATGCTGTCTCTGTGTGTAAGAAATACAATAAAGAAAACAAAAATATTCCTAATGAGTATGTATGACTGTTTGCTTGTGTCTGCATTGGAAAGTGTGCCCATCTATGTGTGAAAGGTGTGTGTATCTCAGCCAGCAAGTCCCGATGACCTGAGACCACTCGGTCTCAATCAGGCCCGTGTTGATTTTGCACTGCATTCTTCCATGAGGCTTATTTTTAGTTGACAGGGAACAAATCTGGAACCTTTGCCTATGATTTTGTGATTTTTGGTCCTGTTCCCTCTCAAAACATGAGCAGAAAAAAGGATGTGGGGCCAAACAGGCTGTTAGACTCATGCTTGTTTTAGCTCCCGAGTCTAAGAAAAAAGTGACAGGACTTGTAATTATGAGCGTGCATGGAGAGGCTGCATGATACGGAGCTAACTCAATAACTACACGGTGCAGTGACATCAAGACGAATGATATAAATTACAAGACTTTCTTAGCAGATTAAACACATACACCCACACATGCACCTACCTGACTGGGGTGAAAATATGAAATTTAAAACCAGTAAGATTCAAACTCATAAAAGAAACCAGAAATGAAAATAGTAAAAAAAACAAAGATCAGAAACACTAGTAAAACATTTTTTTTTAAAAGCCACACATTTGTAGGCAACTTCATCAGACTTGACCTATGCATATATATTCTTCCCATGTTTACCAACCATCTATAATTTTGTCATCATGGTTGTTCATGCAGTTGCTTTTTGTTTTTGTTTAGAAAAAGAATCATCTCAGCTGCTTTTCATGAGGTTTCTATTATTTTTCTTATCTGAATCAAAGGTCCAAGACAAGAAGAGGTCAAGCCCTTGATGGGTAAATTAGGTCAATATTTGATGTTTGATACTATCAATAAAACATAGATTAATTTCCTCCTAGTGGGATTACAAAGGGATATAGGAGTGATCACCTCTGGATCAAAAATGTGAGAAGTGTGATGAGTCAATTAAAAAAAGTAATTGGTACAGAGACATCTATCTGTGATACACACACAAGACAGAATTAAATTCGCCACAGCAACTCATGAAACATCCAAGTGGCTCCTGACCTGCTAGCCATGTTCCACTCCAGCGCAGGGTTCTGGGAGCTCCTCTCACTCTCTGCTGATGTAGCTCCTTTGATTCCCTCCTTTTCTGGTTTAAGCTGTTCCCACTGAGCAGTCCCAATGTTGATAGACTGAAGATCGATCTGGTATTGACGATCCTCCACCTCTGAGCCCGGGTCACGAAGGATGCCAAGGTTCAATGCACGACTGAATGAAAAAAAAGTTTGAGTCAGTATTCATATTAGGGCTACTTTGAGGTTTGGATGTTCAGTAAGTCATCATGTAAGAAGGAAAGAGTAAGACACATTAAATGCAATTAAGTTTAATTTCACTTGTGCAATATACTTTGCATTAGATTCAACAAGCAGGTGCCGATGCCAAATAGACTAAATGCAAAAAATATGACTATTATAGAGGTTCAGTTGATTCAGGCTGTACTTTATATGCTTGGTTACGATAAAGTACGTGAGCCTAGGGGTACGCCAGGTAGTCTGTTGTAGTGAACCAGTAAAGATGTTCTGGCTCTAGGCCCTAACCACTACTGACTGCTTCTCTCTGCCTTTTCAGTGGTTTAGTAGCACATTTTTCTCACGGGATGATTTATGACTAAATGTAAGCCCAAGGAATTGTGCAGTCAGACCTCAGATAAAAAAACCCTCTGCAGGCCTCAGGTGAAATCATTTGCCTTTTATAAAGTTTTGATTTATGCCAGCTTATCACTGGCAGTAAACATTGTTTAAACCCTGGCTGGACAGCACGGTAGTCTGGAGAGTGGCTCTTACTGCCTTTGGCCTGCTGTTTCCGTCTCCAGAAACACAGGACTTGTACAGTGTACACCAACTGTAATGTGGTAGAGGAGATGTAGAGATATGTCAGGAGTGGGCAGCGCTGTGTTTGTAGTCAAACTGCTACAGTCAAGTGAGCAAAGACTGTCCCGTCAGCGCCAAGAAAAAGTGATGTCATCTATTTTGCCTTTGAGAGACAAGATCCTGACGAATTCATGAGGCAAAAGGAATAATCAAAATTCAACATCTGTATATGACATCAGGGCTTTTGGTTCATTATGATATGTTTATTTGTGCTGGTGAATTCAAATGAGAGCTTAAATGGTATAAATAAGAGCTTAAAATGGCTACAGATGTAGCAGCAGCATGAGTAGTTTTATTTGTTTCGGCAACGTCAATGGCAATTTTCATATAGCGTTTCCCCTGCTTAGCGGCTCTGGAAAGGTCTCTACCAGAGCGTGATGTTATGACAATAAGCACCAAGTACAAAAACAATGGCAATGGGAGATCAGAGGTGTATAACTGGATTTACTTGGATTTGTTGACATACAAACAAGTGAAACAGATCCTTAATCAACATTTGGAACCACATTTATCAACAAAGTATAATATAAATCAAACCAAGGGCTGTGTAACATTTGGGTGGGATGTGTCAGTCTAGATTCATTAGGGTTTTTGTAACAGTACCTCCATCACCCTCCCCGTGCCTAAACTGTATTTTTCACATTAAAGAAAACCACAGTTACCTCATATGCTTTCCAAATTATCTCCTAACGTTAGCTTATTTAGGAGACTCTTACTCATAATCAACATAACATGAGCTTCTGCAGCCAAGCCTCTACATCGCCGAGCTGCAGGGTCATCTTCAGTGACATAAATAAATATGATAAACATTTGTCTTGGTCATGCAGCCAGTGGAAACCGGTGTGATTTAATATCAAAAGACATATTTCAGCAAATCGCAGGAAACGAGAGAGCTTCATTTCTGACAAATGAGGAGGGGAGGAATTTTGGAAGTTCCCCTTGGGGTGCAATAATAATTGAAGCCAGATTTTCTTGTTGTACATGTGGGGGGAAAACACTGGTGGTTTGACATATTTGATTGGTAATGTGAAGACCACACTGCTTGGCCAAGAGGAGTCGGGGAATGCTTTGGGAAAGCATGACATTCACTCTGCCCACAGTATAAAGGACCGACTGAAAGCGTGCAGAGAGAGGCAGGTGGAACACACCCTTCTGCTCTGTCTCACATCCCATTATCAGACATCTGCTTGCCACTACCACGCAGAAAATCTAGAGGAAAATGAAAATAACAAGTCATAAATGACATGCTTTCACAGATGAGGAGGGCAGGGAAGAGAGAGGGAGGAAGGCATGGAGGGGAGGGGCATTTTTCTCAAGCACAAGTACTTAGTTTTGCCCTTGTTCCTCGGCCAACCTTATTTTAATTGCAGGAAAAGACCACAGAAACATTATTTTTTACGACAAAATTCTGCTATTTATAAAAATGGATCAAAAGCTCTGCAATAAGCATGTTCTGTTTCACAGCGTTCATGGCTATTATTTTAAAAAACATCTCTCCCTCTTCTGACACTATTTAAACCCAATTTGAGTCCAAAAAGCCACTGGGCCGATTTTGCATCAGAGCTGAAATATGAAGGCCCCGGTCCAACTTTATTATGGCCCAAAATCAAACCCTCCACCCAATGCAAGCCCTTCAGTGGGAAACAGCAGACAAAATAGCAAAGCCATGGCAGTGTTTAGTATCCAAAATGCAGGACTTGGAATAAGATGTTCACTGATACTTCATCACTGAGGAGAAGAAGAAAACGATGTTCCAAATGCCTTTTACAGGAGATACTTGGATAAATTAATAAAAATGGGCGATTAAGTGCATTTTCTGTTCCTCTGTTTAGCATTCTTTGGGTCTATGCATGTGCTGGGCGGAACATCGGTCATGATTTGTGTTAAGTGGACGTGTGGGAGGACAGAGTGCTTAACGTGAAGCAGATTTGGCAATGGGATTCATGAAAAAACTTTACGGGCAAATATATAAAAACTGTTATTATGCACGTTATGTAACGTATATACTGATAAACTACGAGTGACTTTGATGTAAGCTTGCATGAGACGAGAAAGTGGGTTGTAAGAATAAAGTAAAATACATAAATATAGTGCTATAGGGATGAAGAATCATTAAGCTAAGCAAAGGGGTGAATAAGTAAAAAGATTGCTGAAAAAGAGCAAAAGTAGAATTACCATAGTGAGGGCTTGAAGGCCAGCTGTGGTTCAAGGTTGTAAAAGAAACCACAGTGGGATCTGGTTCAGGCTCATGGCCCAATGCTAGGAATGTGGGAGCTGTGGGCTGCGCTGAAGCCGCTTGCCCAGGATCCTTTGGGGCAGGGTGCATCGTGGCCCATGGCTTTGAACGGTCTCTCACCTTCCTCTCTCAACCCCTAGCTACAGATTCCCAATTCCCATCCCTGGCCCAGGGCCAGAGGGCCAGGAAGCACCGGGGTAATACCAAGCGTCACTGGCTTCTGGATCTCGTCACTCTGAAACCCGCAATCTGAACCCTCAACCCCAGACCTGTGTTTCACTCCATTTCCCCAACAATCACATGCAATACATGTCTACTTCCATGCTCAACAGAGGCAGGTTTATATGTAAATAGGAATATGGGTGTGTGTGCTGAGAGAGATGAGGCCCTGCTTCTGCTCTCCTGATAAAACATACATACTGAGTAGAAATTTCATTGAGATCTCAAGCTTAATTCGGCAAAGTCAAGCTAAATTAGGCTTGTAAACAGATGTTCACAAGTTTTCCAAGTACTAGGTTTTGAGCAGCATATTTAAAGTGAAGGAACACATGCTACACATGAAATAGAAACACTGCATGCTTCGGTGTGTTTTTTCACTTGGGCTTAACCACTCTTCCAAACGCTAAAGTAACATCCAAGAGGCAAACTGTTTTTCTGACACCAGCACGAATACTATCACTCATCCATGAATTATTTAAAAAAAAGCAAGTGTTCAGTTGAGGTTTTGATCATCTCTCTCCCTGCCTCCAAATGTTATCGGTCAAACACCATTAGCACCCAGCAGCTCCTCCGTGGTATTTCTGTCGTGGAGAGCTGCCGAGCTCCACAATCAGCTTGCCACGACTCCCATCGGCTTTAAGCGGAGTCCCACTGGGCTTGTGTGTGCGCCGAGGGGGAATTCATAAGCATTATGATTCATGAAACCAGCAATTACTTAGTAAGTTAAGCACCCCTGCCTACGGTGGTCTGCTCTGAATTGCCAGAAATTCGGCAACTTCTGAGGTGTGGATTTATGACCCCAGTCAAGTCCAATTGCTCTTAATTTGCATCTACCAATTATAGTAATTAAGGCTCCGAACTAGAATGCCGAGTAGCTCTCAGAGCACGAGGGGAAAATGATGTTGTGGAATAAAGCAAGTCAGCAGAATCTAAGACGCAGTCACCGAAGGACTTTAATGACACTGCTACTAAAATGATTTTTGATGACTGGAGCTTTTTCAAAAGGAGTCGAACACAGTCGCGAGAAACAAAATATCCAAGACAACAAAACCAAAACAATGCACCTAATTTGTCACAGTTGGCAATAACAAAATACTTACTTTTTAGCCAAGTACAACAAATCCAATCTTTAGCTGATTGATTTTTTTTCTCACTGGCACAGTACACAATAAACAGAAATTGCTGCTTTCCTGAATTGTGTATTGGCTTTGATGTACTGACAAACTTCCATGACAAAAACTCAATCTATTCTTTTTTATTTTAGCCCAGCAGCATTACTCATCTCTCCTGCTACTCCCAACAGAAGCATGTTATTCATTACGTTGATTGCACTTTAAAGACACTCATACTCGACCAATTATATCATATTTATACAAGATCTTAGGAGGAAACTATTACTTCTATATACAATACAAGCTGGGCTTAGTTCGAGCTCAAACCACCCTCGTGACAGCCGTACGCGATGGTAAGACGTTAAGAGAAAGCACTACTGAAGACGGGCCTCTGTTTACAATGACATGGTGTATACTAAAAGTCAGTGTTTGCACTTTGATTTCAACATATCATAATTACAGAAGTCATTTATCTCCCATGCAGTTTACATGTCAGAGAAGTTATAATGTTATAAACAGTCTGTTAGGCGTAAAAGTCACTGGATAACATGTGCTCTCCATGATGGCATGTTAAACATGACAGTCTGGCCGGTGTAATTTATAGGCTCATCACGCTCGTAATTCAGAATCGGATTCTTGCATCAGATCTCCATGTTGCAGAAAAAAAACAAAACAAAAAACAAGCCATGCCTTAAGACTGAACAGATATTTCTTTTGGCTTCAGCAGATGTGCATTTTATGGAATCCACACACACATTCAGTGACTGCACA